ATCATGTTGAAATCATGATATATACCAACTGTCCATCATTTGAGCATGTCTAGATTGTTGATTTGAGACTGTCCGAGTTGAGATTTAGCCTGAGGAAGGGTCTTGTCAGGATTTGATATTGTGAATCTCATTTTCCTGTGTTTAAACATGTTTTCAAGTATACTTTGAGTATTGAATTCACTATATATTGCTGAGACTGATGGGTTATACATCTGAGTACGTTCATACAGTCAATATATGATTGAGAGAGCTAAAATCTAGAGTTCTGTAATAGTAAAATATCAGGTTTATCCTCATAACAGTGCTGCAGCTGAAACCCTCTTTTGAAGCCTAATTTGGGAGTACTTATTGCTGAATCTTACTATATTCTGTGAAATAACTGTTGGAGTAAGTGTTTTTGTTAGCAGCGGTGTTTAGCTTCTATTGATATATCTTGTCCCAGCTTTATACCAAGTGTAATACATCTTTTCATGCTAAGAAAGTCTTTGTTTGAAGTAATTTCTGATATTGCTGCTGTGACCTTAAATTGTTGATACCTTGCTGTTTAAATTGTTATTATCAACTGAGCAAGTATGCTATACATATTGAAGACTGGGGGAGTGAAGATTGAGGTGTTCTGAAGGCCAAATTACAAAGTTGTTCTTGAAAGCTTGAAAGCTCGAGTTTGGTGTGATTAAGGCTGCTTGTGAGTAATCATTGTTGTACCTTGCTCCAATCTCTGTGAATCTTGTTGAGTAAAGATTTATGAAGACATCAAGACCGAGGGTGACAAATACAGGTCAGTTCTGAAGCTACTCTATTCTGAGGCTACTCTATGCTGAGGCTATTCTGTGCTGAAGCTATCTAGTGCTGAAGCTTTTTGTGCTGAAGTGTGATAATCTTGCTGAGCTTATTGAAGATATTGTTTGTGCAAGTGTGTTTTAAGATTATAAAGCTATAAAGACAAAAAAAGGGGGCTTTGAAGAAGATATTTTGTGAGTTGAATTGTTAAAGAAACTTGCTAATCACTGTCCAATACTTTATTAAGCTAGTTTGTTAAGCTGAATCATGACTGTGGGATCCTAGTATGAGTATCAGTTGAAGCTACAGTGTGTTGAGGAAGGTTTATCCTATTGATTGCAGAAGTATAAAAGCTAGGGTTTCACTGTGTACTTTGTTCCTAGCTGAGTTGTACATTCTTATCTTGTGGTACAGCTGAAGTGAATTGTATTTGGTGTATTGACACTTGTTGTTAATGGCAATGAGGCATGATCCCTCACCCCATTGTTGAGTGGTAGTGAGGCTTTACATCCTCACCCTATTGTTGAGTGAGCTTTGAGAGCTTATTGGGTCCAAGCGTGGTTGCTTCAGACAGGGGGAGTGCGTGGATGCACTGAAGTGTCCTAGTGTGTGTGTATTGGTTGTGAAAACTAGTGTCTATTCTGGTACATGGGTGTGTGCAGAGAGTGAGACAACTGAGTGTGTAACAAGATACATACAACTAGTGGAGGCATTTATTGGCTGAAGCCAAGAACCAAGGTTTTTCCCTATTAATAGGGTTTCCTTGTACATCTTGTGTCCATGTGATTTGATTGATTGCCTTGAGTTTTATCTTCTATGTTAAGCATGTTTGTACTCAAGTGAAAAAGATATAAAGTGCCGAAGACCAATTCACCCCCCTCTTGGTCTAACATATATATATGTCTATATATATATATATATATATACTCTAGAATATAGCCCACGATGAATCAAGGAAGGTGCTAAGATTAAATAAGGAAACCATGACGCCAAGAACTCCAAACCTAGAGGGAGAGTATCAAGATAGGAGGTTACAAGAATTAAGAATGTAGCCCACGATAAGGGAAGATGTTGAAATCCAGGGGCTATGACGCCATGAATTCCAAAACCAGAAAGGAAAGTCTGGTTGAGGGAGATTACTAAAATCAAGGGAACGTGGTTGGCAGAAGAAAAGGGACGTGGGGGATGTTGTATATTTGTGGATATATATATATATATATATATAGATATATATATATATATATCAGATATATTACCCATGAAGAGGAAATGGCTGAAGGCTTGGGGCCACAACGCCATAGAAGGAATGATCAGAAAGGAAAGTCCAAACCAGAAGAGGTTACCTTAAGCCAAGGAGACGTGGGTATATGAATAACTTCTATATATATATATATATATATATATATATATAATTATACCAAAGAAGGGACTCTGTAGAAGGAAAGACCACAAAGAACGTGGAACACTTGGCTCAACACGAATGCATCAGTTGAAAGTAGGTGGTGTTATGTGCAACTACTATCACTAACTGAGAAAAGTCATAAAAATTGTGGATGACAAAGCTAATAAAATCATGTCTAAAAAGGGAAAGAAGTCGACGGCCAAAAAGGAAAACCAAAAGCAACACGTGGGGCATGTGTCAGTTTGTAAAGAAGACAAGGTGGAAAGTTAACTTTAGAAGTATACACAAAATCATGAAGAACGTGCCTGAAATCATGCTCAGAAGAAAAGAAGAGGAAGAACAAGATAGATTAAGGTGGTTTCAACCGCCAAAGGATCATGGGGCACTTGGTAAACTTCAAGCTTAGCCACATGGAAGCTGCTGAAGCTACCACATCAAGTTGTTGCATGCATGAAGAACTCTATAAATAAAGCGCCAAGGTATAACATAAAGACTCTCCTCAGACGCTCCACAGACAGCTCAAACACTGCTCAACGCACACAACACAAACATCTTTGCTAAATCATGTAACCCTGATTTCAACAATGAGTTTGCACTATGTCTAAACCTAGCACTTTACTAGTACATGTATTTCCATTCCAGCAATGAATATACATCATTTTAAGTTGAGTCCAGCACTTTGCTATCTTGTTTAGTATTCATTCCATGCGATGAATTCTCATAACGCTTGAGTTAAGTCCAATACTCCTTTTGCTACTTTCCATCCGAGCACTCAATTTCCATATCGTTTAATATCCAGTCTTGCACTTCAATTACTGTAACTTCTAGCCTTGCACCTTCAATATTGTCTTCATTTCCATTAGCCATAGAATAGTCCATAAGTCCTTTTTCAAAGGCAAAAAAGACCCTTTGAAGGTGGTCATTCCAGACCTTCGTACAATCGCCTGATTCCCACAAATCTCTAACTGGATTACTGTTCGGATATCTACTTTGGAACTACTGCAGTTCTTGGCACGCCCGCACACCCCACTATTCTATCTATTCCACCACCCACACATTCCAGAAAGCGGAACCAGCGCTTTTTCGCAAGCGGAACAGTATACATTCAAGGCAACTCAATTTTTGTAAGTGGTTACCTCATTGTTTAAAAACTAATGTAAACATGTAACTTTCTAGATGAGTTGATAGCTTCCTCTTCGTTCATTGTAGTCTCTTGGGAATCTTCATTTTCTAAAGAAAAATGTAGATTAATCATGGTAATAGGTGTGCAGTACCAATAGAAGTGTGTATTTTTTATTTGGCAAGAGAACACACTTTTTGCCCATACCTGGACTCGAACCACCAAAGCACAAATCATAACAAGGCTTGGCCGCATTCCATGGAGTAGCCCTGAAGGAAGAGGTTTTGTAGTTGCTCAAATGATTTCATCTTCCTGAAATCTGCACTGCATTGTAATTTGATGGAGGCTAGCCTACTTCTGGTGGAATTTTTAACTAGAGCAATGATGTGGTGTGGTGATGAGGATTTGTTCCTGAAAGCTGTAGAATTTCTTTCCAACCAAAGAAAATAAATAGATGAAGAGAGCAGCAACCTGTGTAGGAGAAACTGCTTGGAATATGCCAATGGTTTGAGCACCAAGAAATCAATGCTGAGAAATTATCTACTAAAATTTAGAAACCTGCAACATTTTGAATCAAATTCCAAATTACAATAGTGGGGATACCTTTGGATGGAGATGGAAGCCAGGAAAAAGTATCAGGTTCTTGTGATGGTGGGGGCAGGGAATGTATATGTGGGATGAAGTTTTGGCTTTGTAGTAAGGGTATTGGGTGAGTGAGTTGAGGAAAAGCCCATTGAGGATTGGAAATTAGGCTGTCAACTTTGGCATATCATTCCTTCTTGCAAACCCATTCTAATAGGGCGGGGCAGATTAAATTGACATTCCTAGTAGAGAATGGTGGAGTGGTGTAGAGTGATGGAGGATTCTAAATCATTACATGGAGAATTGGGATGAATTTGAAAATTAAAGAATATCCTATAACAGTATATAGCTTTGTACGGATTGTAAATAACTAGATAGTTTGCTGAAATGTTGTAGAGAGTAGATGGGAGATCTAAGCTCTCTATTGAATGACTATATAAGGAGTAGACGTCTCTTTTGTAATCAAGTCATCTAAGAGTATGTGTAGCGACCTGTATAATTTTGATGTACAATCAAACTGTGCTATAGAAATGAAGTTATCATAAATGGACATAGAAATGCATAAATGCATATAGAGATGCAACAAGTTGATTCTGCATCTTTCGCGAAAATGATACTGGAAACATTATTTTGATCTTGGTGGTATTTTACTTGCTTTGAATTTGATATAAGTTACATGATATAGTTCAAGTTACATGAAAATGTGTTTATTTAATAATGTGAGAATGATAACAATTTAAATACCACTAAAAAGTTAACAAAATTGTGAGCAAGACTTCACTTATACATAAATAAATAAATAATTTAAACAGCTATCATAAAAATTCTGGGCAAAATTTCGGTAGGGGCTTATTTTAAATTTTATTAACATAATCCAAAGACCAAAACAACTTTTAGTGAACTGGGTCCCAACCGTTGGAAATGTGAACCCGAACCGGGATTGGGGGCAAGGCAGATCAGATCCACAGTTCGGCAGTTCCACTGCTCCGACACCTACATGAAACAGTATATCTATAAGAAAGGCTCAAATTCAACAGAAACTACATTTTTCCGCAACACTATCAGTATAATATCAAGGACAACAAATACAATTTGTCCATCAAAACCCTGTCAAGCTGTTAAAGTCATGCATGATACCAACTCATTAATTCGAATATTCACAAGTAAATTTGGTAGCATTGATATACATAGCGAGTCCATATTTGTATCTTTTCTGTTTTTTCAGAGTGATCCCGTTATTTCTTCTGCTACTAAATATTACAGAATATGAACATGACCAGGCACAAATTATTAACTCATCTAAAAGCCCCTTTAGACAGAACCTTAGTAAAGGTATATTTTATATGGGTAACATGCAACCAAAATGTCTTTAAGAATTGCAGAAAAGCTTCATGCCACTGGAGTTCTGCAACAAACACCAAATATATCATCGAAAGGTGCATGATCACCAGTCCCTTCGTCTTTCCAAGCATACAACAACTGCTTCCCTTTAAAAACGAACATCCCTCCCTAATGTACCGAAAGGCCAAATATATAAGGATTTTGCAGAAATTTAGTGGACATATGGGAGTTATATAAATTCAAGAATAAGGTGAGGTGGATCAGACCTGTTGCAAGACACTGCTTCTATCATCTGGAGTGGCTTCAACTGTATAGTTCTTTACAGCTTTCTGCAGAGCCTCAAATCTTGAAAACACCTTTGCCTGTCATATCACAGTTAAGGTAGAAAGAAATTGAATATATAGACGCCACACACATAAGTCATGTATCAACAAGATAGCTTCTTTCCAGGAAATAGCAAGAGAAGATTACGCTGGTTGGGTTGAAAAATGTACGGCCAAAACCATAATACAAGCCCAAAACATCATACGCCTGATAAAAAGAATATGTTAAGAGTTTCGATGGTCCAGAAGAAAAAACAAAAATTTAACTGACATAGTTCATATTGGTGCAGAATTGCTACCTTGCGGTCAGGATCAGCATATAGGCAATCCAATGGAAACGGTAACTGACCGTATAAAATTGGGGAGAAAAGTATTAGCTCCGAGGATCAAGAAAAGACTGTAGCAAAATCCAGTGCACCATAAATATTAAATGATAATAACAATTGCCTCCATATTTTCAATAACCCAAGAAATGTAAACTACAAGAACAGACAAGCTGTAAACACACAGGCAGAATAACACTCGATACTTTGTCCCGCATTGGAGCTACATTCATGAGCAAGAGATATCCTTATCATTAGATGTCAATACTCTTCCAATATAAGTCCAATTTACAATATCAATATCTTATTCATATGCACGGAGAAATTGAAAGTATAGTCCTTTGATTATCAATATCTTATTCACCATCCTTTTGAATTATTGACTCGTATCGAAAAAGATCACCTTGAATAATCCTTTGATTTTGAAGCGTCATCATTGTATTAGCAATATCAAACTCGTTACTATATTTACATTTCATATATTTAGTTTTAATCGTACTAATTTTTAAACCTTTTGATTCTAATGTCACCTTTCAAATTTAATAACAATTTTTTTTAGAAGTGTCCAATAGCACTATATCATCGGCAAACAACATGCACCATAATGTCTCCTTGTAAATTTTTTTGTGATTTCATCTAATATTATTGTGAATAAATATTGACTTAGGGGTGCAGACCCCTGGTGCAATCCTATGTTTGTCTCTTTTGCAAGTCAATGATTAGGCAATTGCTGGCACAAGTTGGGCCATTCATATAAGTGAACTATATTGATTCCCTAAAAATATCTGACCTTGTCAAAGAGAAGAAAGATTCCTTGATACAAGCATTTCTCCAAGAAGCACATTTCTTGTAAAATATTTTGTTTTCTAGTATCTTTAACACAACAAAATAATAATTGTATTAGCTGAGGGGCATCAATGTCCTAAAATCATTCATTCGATAACCAAATAATTCTCACAAACTCCTTTTAACATGTAGATGTACGTTACAGGCTGAGCCCACCATAAAACAAAAACTTCAACAGTAAATGGTAGTAGTTTGCATTTCATAGCAATCAGATGCAATGGACAGGATTACAGGAACCATTTAAAGTGCCATCAAATGCAACAGAGAGAAAAATTTAAAGCACCATCAGATGCAACAGATAGGAAATATTTAAAATGACAAGAATTAGCAATACCCTAAGGGCAATGACAATACGAAGACAGCACAAGTGTAATTTGGGTGACTCCTAGAAATTGGAAACAAAAATAATAATTAAAAAAAAAACCAAGCTAGTCAAGGATTGAACGTCTGTTTTTTTTTTTCCCACAGAAGATAGGATTGAACTAATATGCTTATATATATTTTTTTTTGATAAGTGAACTAATATGCTTATATACTTCATCAACAATAGTGACGAATAAAATTATCAATGAAATGCGGCAATACGGCATTTCTTGGAGCATTTTTTTTAACAGAATAAAACATAGATAGTCCAAACATCAAGACAAGCCAGAAATAAATAAAAAAATCTTAATACCAAATCAAGAATATCCTGAAGTATGCCTACAGCCACATACAGAGTAACCAATACTCCAACCAAACCAGGCCACCTAGAAGTATCCATAGCGTCTTTACTGACTTCAAGAATCCTAGACCTAACACTAGAAACTCCCTAGATAAGACCAGAACAGTAAAAGGAAATGATTAAATTTATGATTAGGCAACCTTACAAGTGAACTAACTCAAAGCTCAGGTATGGAATTTAGAACTACTAAAGAAAATGATTAAATTCATGGTTAGGTGACTTTAAAGATCAAAGCTCAGTATGGAATTTCGAACTACTAATTTTACTCGTGTGTGTGTGTGTGTGCCGAGAGAGAGAGCAAACAAAGATCTTCAAAATTTGTTCTAATATATGTGCATCTACATGAATATTCAGGTATGAACACAAACATCCATGACATCCCAACAACAATTAAATAGTTTCATATAAGTTGATATATATATATATATATATATATATATATATATATATATATTCAAAAAACTTAAAATCCCTGAAACTTTCTGAAAATAGAATATCACTTAGGCTCTGTTTGTTTGAGAGTAAAATATTTTTCGGAAAATATTTTCTGTTTTTTCTGGTGTTTGGTTGTCGTAAAATACTTGCGAAGAAAAAAAATATCAAAATCTAATAAAAATAACTTATTCATCAATTTTCGGCAAGCTATTTTACAAGCCCCACCCGATGGACTCGACCTCAACCTCGACCTAAACCTTTGCCAAACACCGAAAATTAAAAATATATATATATATATTTTACCTGAAAAAAGAAAATATTTTTCGTCGAAACAAATGGAGCCTTAATAGAAAACTCCGGCATGACTCAAGTTGCTAGTCTATAATCTGTATTCTGTTCATAATGGCCAGAACTTCCAAATCCGATCAGAAGGAATACAGAGACGTTTCTCGGAACATTTAAACTAATCTCAACTTAACACAACCAAATGCCACACCAGTTCATAGCCGTTAAAGGTTCTCCCCAGGCGCCTCAAGGCTCAACAGTTGCGCCTGGCAGTAGCCCAGGCGAAGCAAATTGCCTGGGGTGCGTGGCTATTTTACAGATGCGCCAAGCACAAAGTGTGCAAGTGCGACTGCGATTGAATTTTTACATTTATTTTATAATAATTTTGGTTTTTTCCTTTGTTTGTTCAATTGTTATTTTGCCTACTGGTGCACATCTTAAGTTACCTGGAAGACTGGACCCTACCACATGCTATAGCTGAGAGTACTCAAAAATCAGTCGACGAGGGCTCTATCTCTGGCGCGCAAATGTGACTGTGATTCCAGTGGCAATCCACCTTCTCTTTAGTGTGCTCCTCAGTCAGTCAACAATTTAGAGCAAGAAGAAGAAGAATAAGCCCCAAATTGTTGACTAACTGAGGAGCATATCATAGAGAAGGTGGTTTGCCGCTGGAAGCCTGGAATCGCAATCGCATTTGCGTGCCAGAGAGAGCCCTACATCGTTCACTGATTTTTGAGGTGAGATTTTACTTGTAGTCTCAGCTATAGCATGTGGTAGGGTCCAGCCATCCAGGACGTGCAGCAATAGGCAATCAATAACAATTGAACAAGCAAAGGAAAAAACCAAAAATAAAAATTCAATCGGAGTCGCACTCGCGTGCCTTTACTGCGCCTTGTGCTTGGCGCGCTTGTGAAATGGGCAAGCACCCAAGGCAATTTGCCTTGCCTAGGCTAGTGCCAGGCACAACTGCTGAGCCTTGAGGTGCCTAGGGAGCACCTTTAGCAACTATGAGCTAGTGTGGCATTTAATTGTTTTAAGTTGGGCTTTAAAATTTAAATGTTCCGAGAATATCTCTATATTCCTTCTGATCGGATTTAAAAGTTCCGGCTAAAGAATATAGATTATAGACCTCTGTTTTTTCATTTTTCGTTTTTTTTTCCCCCCTCTTCTCTCTCCCCTTGGCAGCTTCCTTTTCTTCTTATTTTTTCCTATTTCTTTTCTCTTCCTTTTTTTTTTTTTTTTTTTTTTTTTTTTTTAATTGCTATTAGAAGTTATATATATAATAGTGGGTCGTTATGTAATTATGTTTAGTTAATAGGCTGTTTGTGTTATTATGTAAACCTTGTAACATATATAAGCCTACATAGGCTTATTAGGTTTGTAAGTTGTTTTTATATACAAAGAGAATACGATTTTGCACTCTCTGTTTCTCTCTTGATTAAGAACATGGTATCAGAGCACAATAATCATGAGTGTGAGAATTAGTAGGTGGGTTGGTGGTGAATCACGATTCCAATCGTGATTCAAATCGTGATTCAGATCGTGAATGTGGTTTTGATGTCTCTGTCGGCAATTTCTTGTTTACCGTAATCAGATCTGAAGTGTGTTCGTCGTTTCTGCCTTCTTCATCGTCACCGGCAGCTCCTCTTTGGTGGTCGTCGTCTCTGGCTTCTTCGTCGTCACCGGCAGAAGCTTCTTCGTCTCGATTTGCAGAGGTGAGATTGGTTTTCGGCCGAAAGTTGATTCAACCGCTGCTTGTTGATTCGGCCGCTGCTCGTGGTTGGGTTGCCGTCGCCTCCGCCGTATTGTTTACCAGAGTTTGTGACAGAGTGAAGAAGAAGACCCGTGTTTGGCAACACAGTTGTGCTATTCCAATCCCGGTTTACTAAACCAGGGATAGTCCAGATCCGGTCCGGTTCCAGGATCCGACCCGTGCCAGGATCCGACCCGGTTTCAGAATCCGACCCGTTACAGACCTGCTTCCAGGTTCGGCCAGAATACATAATTTTTGTTTTCTCTCCTTTTTCTTCTCTGTTTTGCTGGATTCAACATGGCCTCAAGTTCAAGTTCAGATTTGCTTTCACCCACGAACAGTCTTAATTCTCCCATAACTTCAGTTAAGCTCAATGGGAAGAATTACACATTGTGGGCCAAATCTGTTGCCATTTTTCTCAAAGGCAGAGGTCTTGGTTCTCATTTGACTAAAGAGAAACTCAAGGTAACTGATACTTCCTTTGATGCATGGGAAAAGGAAGATGCTCAGATCATCTCTGTGATGATAAACAGTATTGAACCCCAAATTAGTTCAACGTTACTTTATTTGGATACAGCCAAGGAGATATGGGATAGATTGCAGCAGTTATATTCTGGGACAGGTAATATCACCCGTGTTTATGAGCTATGTAAACAATACTTCAATCTTGAACAAGGTACTCAAAGTATAGAAGAGTATTATTCCAAAGTTATGGGAGTCTGTGAAGAGCTGAATATGTATCAGCCCATCACTGCTGATGTTCGCAGTATGCAACATCAGCGTGCGGACTTTAATGTTGTCCGTTTTCTTACTGGTTTATCATCAGCATATGAGCCTTTTCGTGCACAGATTATGAGCAGTCCAACACTTCCATCTCTTGCTGAGGTGTTTTCTCGACTTCAGCGTGCTACACTAGCAAGTGATACCTCAAATTTGAATACTGGACAGAGTGGTGAGCGTTCAGCATTGGTAGTTTCA